CGCAGCTCCCCGTGGCTTCAGCCTTGTTGCGAAGCATGTCCTTATCTTCGAGTTCACTTGGTGTGCGTGGCTTGATACTGCCTTCTTCAGGCGTTCTGCTGAGCTAAAAATATAATTCATTGCTTTAATTCGTGTGTTTTTATTTATTTGCAAGTTGGGAGCAATTATAGCGCAGGGAGTGTAGAGGTATTTTCAGAGAGTGATGGCATTGCATGGAAATGACAGCTCAAATTTAATTTGCATCTCTTCCATGTTGAGCATATGTGTGCAAACGGAGAGCTGCCTTAAGTAGCTCAGACCAAAATGCCCTGCGCAGGGCTGGCGATCTGCTGGCAATGATGAAATGGAAGCTTTGCAGCACAAGCAGGCTACAGGTCAGCACAGCCCCGGCTCTTACCAAAGAGTGCTGCTTTCCTTTGGCTGGGAATACAGCTTTAACGAAAGTTTTGGCATCTGGCTTGTGGCTGAGTGTTAAAGGTCAAGCCTGGTTGCAGGTTGTGACTTAATGCAAGATAAGGTGAAATGGGAAGCAGTTAAAATGTGGCGCATCCCTCTTGCTTGAGACCAGTTCATCCTACAGCTCCTCAGTTTAAAATTAAGCCATGCTGCCAAGAACTATCCATGCAGCATCATAATCTTGGTGGCTAAAAAGGCTTTCTCTTTGCTTGTTATCTGTTAGCACATGTTAATTCTCCTGTAACAATATTGGTTTGTTGTTAGACTGCAGTGTAAATGCGAGCCCTCTGATTAGGCTGGTGCAGCCAGTCTGACCGGTTCTTTGGGAAACTCTGAACAAAGCACACTTGGCTTCTGGTGCTCTGTCTGACTGATTTCAGCATGTATTTTTGTTCATGCAAAAACAATTTTAACATTTGTCTTTCATGTTAGATCTGTTTACTAAAAGTGGGTTAAAGAAAACTGTCCTGTTGTGCAGTGTAGCATTCTAGCTGCCTATTTGCTGACTCACTTTTCTTACCAAAGCAGAGTTCATAACAGACTAAACTGAAACTGCAGAAGAAAGTTTTTGAGTGTACCTCTCTTCTTTGGATGTGCTCAGGCAGCCTGTAGGAGGATCTGTCTGCTTGCACTCTTGTTGCTTTCTAGAGATAGGTTAATCACTTAATTTTTTCCATGTACTGGTTGCAAAAGGAATTGAAATATAGATGATGAGCTCTTTGAGATGAGCTTAAAAAAGGGGAGGGGGCGAGGGCAGGAAATTAGTATGTTAACTTTCTATATTCTTTCTTTTTAGGTCCATATTGAGATCCACTGACTTGTGGCTTGGTATCTTGCTTGTGATCTATGTTCACCTGAAGTCAATCACATTCTTCAAACTTGGCCTGTTGTGAAACAGCAAAGCTGTGCTTCTTTCCTGTAAGAATATGGAGAAAGACAACTTAAACCTGAAACAAATCTATGAAAGTGTCCCAGGTCATTGCAAGGCAGCAACTTGCTTTACATGCATACATTCATTGTTGAACAACTCTCCAAATCAAAGAAGCAGTTTACAAAAAGAATTACTTTATCCTAATATTGGGAATTCTTCAGTCTTCAGTACTATACCTCTCTGTTATATCGACAAGGAAATGCGTCTGAGTTTGAATGAATCAGCAGGGAGAAACTCAATTACAACTGCTGCTTCAACAGATTCATTCTGTCTGCATTTTCTCTCTGAGAAAGAGAGACCCGATACGGTTTCTCTCTGCATTAGCAGTACTTCAGTAAAGGTCTGGAAGGAGGAAGCTTCTTGTTTTGCTAGGGACTTCAGTAGCTGGTGCTGTCCAGGAGACAGTGCTATATGTTTTGCACACTTCTGGCTGTCAAAGTTGCAGTATAATCAAAACCTGCAGTTTCTGGAATTGGAAATGAATGGCAGCATACAGAATGAATTGCAGCTTTGGTTTCCTGAAGAGTTGGAATTTGGACTTTGGGACCTTTATTGTATTCCAGTTGCCTCACTGAGTGAATATACTATGGGATTTTTAAACTACCAGAAACTGTGTTACTTTCTTTGTTACTTAAATCTGGGATTTTCAGAGCAAGCAGTTGGATATAAGAAAATGTTTTCAATCATAAAGTATGTGACAAATAATTCTCACATCCTACACCTAGCAATTTCTGTGCTGACTTTTGCACTAGCAGGTCTCTGCTATGCAGTAGCAAAGGTTAAAAAAAAACTCTAAAATTTTTATGATGATTTTTAACATTAACAGAAATTTAACCGATGAAATCAGAGACAAGGCTACAGTTCAAGTTTTAGAAGTAGACAGCTAGAGTAAAATTATACTTGCTAGAAAAACTGGCTGTTGAATAACAGGGATTACTTTTAATATGAAATATCTGTCTTTGGAAAGAACTTCATCTTAAAACTGTTTGGGACTTCTACATGTCTCCCATTAGCACTAGGCTGGAACTCAAAAATGATTCTTTAGCACAAATCCTTAGTTTCTGTATTTGCTGAGTGCTCTGGCTACTGTTTACAATCATTTGTAATGAAACTTGCTTGTAGAAGTGAACTCCCTCTCTGAATCCAACAGCAACTACTGTAGATTAAAACTCTCTCAATTGGAAAGCTATTAAAAGGTTGGAGGGAGCACCTTCAGCCTAGCATGGTTCAGTATTGTACTCTTCAGATATGGTACTGCTCTAATTTAAACAGTATCTCATGAACTTCATTGGGCTGCAGTTAAATGGACACACTAGAAATAATTTTCCAAGGGAACATTTCCTTTCCTTGGAAAAGAGATTGTTGTCACTGAAGTATAAAAAGCATTTCTGGATCTGTTGACTTCGGCTTTGGGACAAACTTCTACAGTGCTTGGCAAAGAATGGAGCAAGCCCTTTGAAATCAAGAGAGTTGCCTTTGAATAAGAACTTGCAGGAATATGTTTCTTTGGGCATGTAGATGTGGAAACTTAATGTGCAGTACATCAAATTTGGTGCCTGAAATTCTCAACAAAGGGGCTTAGTGTAGATGGACTTAATGTGCTCTGTGGACATGCCTGAAGAGGGAAGTATTGATTTGGTGAGTTAAGATGCCTTTCAGCTATCTTCACTGTGAATTAAGTTTACTTTGCAGCCAGGTGCTCACCTTTTATGTTAGTGATTGTTAAACTAAGTATCCCTTTTGCTGTCTAGCTTCCTTCACTTCAGAAACAGAATAAGCAGTGTTGCATTTGGTCTGAATTGTAGTCACCTGAAAAGCCAGCAGTTTCTAGTATAGTGTTCCTTTGTGTGTTAGCTACTGCACAAAAGCCTCCTTATGTAGGAAGTGTCTCATTATGAAGATAAGATGCCAGTCATCAGTGTTACCAGGAGAAATGTTAGCATTTTTTAGCATAGATGAGTGCTGAAAGTAAGATGTGTTAGTTCTTGTGTTAAATAGTATTTTGTTTTATATCCCCCTTTGTTGACTATTTTTTCTGGATGTTAGAAGAGATAAATTGTTTTAATTTAGACAGTAACCTTTTCATGGGCATAGGCTCTTAACTGTTAAACTTTTAGACTTTTGACCACATGATTACTAGTCACAAAAACACCAGAAACTTCAATGTAATAATAGATTCTATGTTATAAATAATTACTTTGGCAGCAAGTTTTAGTCAAGCTGTTCATACTATTTCTTCCCCTTTGCTGCTGCAGTTTCACTGCCGAGGGTGATAATATCCCTGCAAGGTGGCATTAACACAAGTGCTTATGGAACAAGATTGCTGAAATACATGGATTTCAAACTAAAATGCCAGAAACAAAAACACTTCCTCAGAAGTTTGTGGCTTATTTGAGATACGGTGTTAAACTGTCCCCATATATACCTTGACCCTAAGAACAGCTGGGAGAGCTGAAGGCTCAGGAATGAAGGTGGGGAGGGACTGAAACTTATAGAAGCTGTCTTGATTGCTAAAGAAGCCATTATGCAACTGCATCTTAATCTCTGTAATTTACTATATAGGTAAAGGAAAAACTCCTCCTGTAGAGTGCTTCTTTTACCTTTGCACCTAAACACAACCCTGCCTCCATAACTGCTTGATTTCTTCTATAAAGAATCTGGCACAGCTGTGCACTTGTAGTTACAGGTGAGAGCTGCTTTATTCAGCTGAACAGCTTGGCATAGTGTCCTCTTTCCTGATGTACATTTGGCAAGAGCGTGCTTTGGAACCAGTGTTTTACTGTTAGATCCATAAGCAAGAAGAGTAGCTGGTGGCATAAATATATTAACCCTGTCTTAAATCATCACCAGTAAGTGCATAAAAAATGGGAGGAGAAAGACAAGAGAACGTGTAAATTGTAATTAAATGTATATGCAGTGGGGTGTCAGGAGCTGTCTTTTTTTGGAGAACAAGCCTATGCAGGAAGGGATCTTGGATTGTATTATATATCACAGTCCAGATAATATAGTCCTGTCATAAGCAAAACTTGCATTGAGTGAGTGGCCTTTAATTACTGCTACAGGATCACCTTAAATAACTACAATACAGATAAACAACATGATAGGTATTTGTGTATTATGTATAATGAATATAAGTTTTAAATAATGTCTCAAGTGAGTGGATTTAATCCATTTTAACATAGTTTATGTACTTTGCCTTGGATTTTATTGCTAAAAACCTGAACGGTAACTTTCTAACTTGAACATTCCATGTAAATTGAAATAAAGGATAGTTAGTATGCTAAAATCTCAAATATGTTGCACTTTAAGCTTGGAAAAGTCATAGATTGAAAGCAGTATTCTTGCACTAATAAAACTATTAAACTGGCAGAGACAATACTTGAATGACAGCTTCTTTTCCCTCTTTATGGGGAGAATAATGAACCAAAATGATGGCTATCATTTGAAGCTACATATTCTTAAAATTTTATATATAGACCACTATTCTCTTCATACAACTGACTTGATGTTAATTCATCTCAAAGGATGGAAAATGTCTCAGCTAAGAATCCAGTTGTATGGAGTTTCATGGCCTCTAAGTCAGATAGGAAGAGAGCTTTGGAGTAAATGTGCTGTTAGGGTTAAGATTTACTTGGACAATGTATAGTGCAGAATAATTCTTTTAATAGGGATAAGAGACACTTAAAATGAACCAGGATTTGCCTTCTAGTCCTCTAATCATGCTGTTTAAGTATTGAAAAGGGGGTTTAATTCCTAATCAACTCCAATGCTTTCTGAAACATCATTCATCAGTGTCCAGATCCCTCCTGAGTTAGATTTCTGCCATTAGAAAACAAAATTGTGAAAGAAAGCATTTACAGAGAATTGCCTAGCAGTTTCCCAAAAGTATACAGTGGAGTGGAATGTTACTCTATGATGTACTGCTTTACAGAAGAAAAGATAATTTTTGATGGGTGGGTACAAGCTGCATGTGGGTAGAATCTGTATTACCACAGTATGATGTTGGAGTGCATATGCAAACTCTTACTTTCTGGCATCACAATGCAAAATGCAGTAGAGATGGTGGTGTGCTTTTCAGTGTGGTATTAGACAGTGCAATCCTAATAACCTGTATGCATCAAGCATTGCAAAGCAGTTATCTACAGACACTTTCAGCCTCTTGCTTTTTTAGAAATGAGGGGTGGGATATTATGACTGCATTTTCTGAACTTTTCCAGATCTTTTTTTCTCCTTTCCTCTTCATTTGGCCCTTGTCATAGGTACACGCACTTTTAACTTTTGAAAGGACCAAGCCCATAAACACTTTTCTAATATATCAACATAATGTCAAGTTTTTAAAATATTTTTTCCAAATTATTTTATTTTCCCTCTCTTTCCTCACCACCATTTCTCTGCACATGCACGTACTGGTGCTCTGTTCCACTTCAGAAACACTCCTCAGCAACTACTTATTGACAAAAACAGACATGTAAGCACCCTTGCTTTGTCATTAAGGTGCAAGACAACTGGTATATTTGACAATGGTATGTACCCAATGTCAGTCAATGTACAGATTCTTTTTTCTTCTCTTCACAGCAGCTGCTCTGTTTAATATTTAGTAATCCAAACTTGCCACATGTCTGTCAACTGTGAATTTCAGCTAGAATTATCAAATAGCGTGGTCACATTTAACATTAGTTATGCTGGCTTCCAGACCCTGTGGGTTTAAGTTATTTGAAAACTTCTTATGAATATACTCTTTACATCTTAATCTTTTTTCTTTTCCAAGAATGCATTGAACAAGATGTTCTGATACCTGTACATATTTTCCATGCTGCAGCCAATAATTACAAAAAAATATCTTCAGTTAAATATTTATGATAATTTTCTTCTTGAAATTTGAGGCTACTAAGCTTCTAATCTTCAATAAAGAACTTTGATAAAACTTTAAACAATTTGTTGAAAATAAAAATATTAATGGTGCAGCTCACATTTCATAAATATAGGGACATATACCAATTTGCTGACATTTGCTGTGGAAATAGGAATAATATGAAAGTGTGAGTTATCATCATGCTATCATGTACCACCATCCACTAAGTACACTCTACTGGGGCATACTTTGAAATTAATCCTGTATTGCATCCTGAGATCTTATCCTGAACTTGGTCTTTCTAGAACTTGCAATGTAAGATTCAAGCCCGTACAGATGGTTGTTTTACTATTAATGACAAAATCCATTTGAAATTTAATCCATTTTAGAAAATGGCCCAAAGGATTCCCAGAAAGAAAATATGCCTAGAAAGGATTCTATGTTTTTTTTTTTCCCCGATCTTGATGTATTTTTGTTTCGAAAAATCTCTCTTCCTTTTTTGTGAGATCTATACAGATATAAACTGATAGTTTAAAGGGTAAAAAGGGTACACCTTCTAAAAGCAGCACTGTTCTTCAGTCTTTTCTTTGTAGCCAATTTTATCTCTTATTAAATATAAGAATACATGGATGTAATTCAAGCTTTTGTTCTTAAAAGTAGGTAAATCTGAAGTTAGTGCCTCTTTTATCAGTTGAAGTTGAGTATTCCACAAACTTTCCTGAAAATGCTAACACTAATTTTAAATGCTGACATGTGTAATGCTTCCTGTGAACTGTGACATTATCCATGCAAAGCAATTTTAGACTGTGGCCTTAGTCTTGGGTCCTAAGTGTGTGACTTGATACTATTTTTCCTGATTTTTGTTGTTGTTTGTTTTAATCTCAATGTGAGATTGAGAAGCCTGGCATGAACCATCTCTGTTGCAAAGAAAGATGTTTACAACTTTGTATGTATTTTAGAACTTTATAATAACACTTTCTAACTTGTGAGAGGTGTTTCCATAGTGAACTTGAAATTTATTGCCCTGATGAAGTTAATACAGACTTTGAAATCATTTAGAATGCTATCTAAGCTTCTGGAAACTATTGATGAATTGTGATGCTGCTTGCTTATACCACAGGAGGGAGTAAAACATCAGCCTTCTGAGTATTTTCAATTATGGCATAGGTTTTTTCTTAGTGCATTTCAGTTTACAGATATGCCGAATTTGACTTGTTTTATGGTTTGTCACTGCAATAGTGTAATGTACAAAATCAATACACAGTGGTAACTTATTGTAACTGTTTACAATTGAACTCTGAATACCAGTTGATGGGTTTTATCAAGCTATTTAAAAATAGAAATAAACTCCTTTTAAAAATGATCTTCTGGCTGTACTGAACAAAATAGCAAGTTCCAGTGCTTCTCAATCCATTTTTTTGTTCTACAGATTACATAGATGAGCATGTGCAAATAAGTTTAAAAAGCTATTGTTTTGGTCCTGTTTTGGCCCATAAAGAGTCAGTAACTTTTTTAGAAATAAAATTTGGGAAACATGCATTTATTAAATCACATCTGTAGTGAGAATAAAAGTGCAGTTATGCTTAGTCTTGGAAATTAGGTATCTGAACAATAGGCCATTCAATTCTGTTAATCATCAAAATCTAATATAATTGAAAGGTATTTCCCAACAAAGTAGACCTAATAATGTAGTTTAGTCTCATTGAGAAGGGTAAAGAAAATCACGCTGTGTAGAAAGGACATAGCCAATTCTCTAGTGAAACTCTGGATAACATGGCTGGATATTTCTCTTAAAGGTTAAAATTACCTTAGTATCAACAGATATTCCAGGGTTGCTGTTTTTTGCTGAAGTATTTTCATGAAAAGCATGGAATTAGCATTTATCTTCTGTTTAATGTTGAACATGAAAAACAAAAAAGACTCAAACTGCTCAGCCTTCAGATCTTTTCTGAAAGCTGCTATCAGCTGATTTTTTGATTCTAGACTCAAGACATAATTAACTTAGGTTTTTTGTTTGTTCTCAGGGCCTTGATGCCGCAAGTGATAAACGCTGAGGAAGCACGCTATTGTTTTATGTGCTGTATTTATTCTGTAGAGAGATGGTATTGAGAACTCTGAAGCAAAGGCTGACATTTTGAATACAAAATTAACATGTACTCTTTTTCTTAATGATAAAAGCTAACTGTCATTTCCCTCAAAACACAATTTTAATATAAACAAGGGTGGGGAGAGGAAAATGAATGTAATAATGTAGTAAGCACTATGAGGTCTTGGCATACCTTTAGATATCTACCATCTAACTTCACTGTAGACCCTGTATTTCTTCTGGAATTCACCTGGTACATATGAAAGCAGTATTTCATCTGATTTCATTTCATCTGATTGACCCACAATGATGTGACCCAGCACTAATTATTAATTTTGATACTGCTTTCAGGTGGATTATTAGTAGTTCTGTGTATGCTTGTGTGTGAACTCTATGTGTATGTAAAACATACCAATATACAGAGGTATGATACTTGCAGCACACAGGTAACTTTAAGGGATTTGGGATACACTGGCAAATAAACTTGGGAAAAGATGAAGCAGGTGGGTCAAAATCTCCTGATAGGATCTGAAGGATTCGAGTCTTTGAGATGGTCTAGGGCAGGCCATATAAACCAAAATTTCTACAGAAAACAGCCATATCTCTTAAGAAAAAGATAAAAAAAATACAGAATGCCTTACATTTCTTTAAAAAAATGGATATAAGTTTAATTATCAAGCACCATGCTGTGCTTGTAAAAGCATGTTGTAAGACTTTGGTTGGTGCTATTTCTATTTTTTCTATGGATATGAAAATGCTCCTTTAGCTTCATAGTTCAAAGACAAAAATACATATTTGTATTCACATTTTGTAATTCTTTCGAATCTTGTGCATACTATTGAAACTATCCCTCAGGGCAAAGGAACAAAATTAGAAGTTAAAAGGTCACCTCTTGCTCACTGAACAAAAAATCTGCAGTAGTGACGAACTGTGTTGGTTTTGCTTTGTTTTCCTTCCTTTTGGGCTAGGAGCTGGAGCCTGAAATCACTTTATCTGTGAGCTATTCATGAATAACTCCTCTAAGCACAGAGATGCTCTCTGGCTTCTTGTAATCAAAAAAAAAAAAAATCTGTTCTATCACAAAGATTTACAAATCCCCTTTTGGATCTTACCCTTGCATTCCACGTATTGCATGCTGATTGTGTGCACGTGTGACTTGCTCCAGCCTTAGAACAGTCACAGCATTTCTAACTTCTGGTCTTTGCTCATAGGAAGAATTTGCTAGGTAAAAAAAAA